TTTGGAGGACAGGATGAAAATGAAATAGATGGGTGAGGTCTTCCACAAACTATGGCTTTGTTAACAGAAACTCCTTCCCAAACAAAATTCTAATTAGACCTTCAAAGGGAAAAGGTGGGTGCTGATTCTGTTCCCTTTAAAGGACTAACAAACAGGGCCAGTTGTTATTCATGAAATGTGGTGTGGGTGGAAGAGTTAAAGCACGGTTGAGATCGGAATCAGCGATGACGTTGTTTGAAAGGGAGAACAAGACCTCCATCTCTTCTGTCTGGATCCTGCAGTTTCTGGTGGTTTTGGCAACAGGGGAGGTGGCTCGAGGGATGTATTCAGGCCCATAGCTATGGTGGGGCTTTTGGGGGGCTCCGCTCCCTTTCTCAAAGGCACTGGCCCACAAGAATATCTCCTGTAAATGCTTTCTTTTCAATCATTTAAAAACATTTTTAAAGCCATGCGCTCCTTTAAGCAGAGTAGGGTGCTAATTCTCGCACCGAGCAAGGGGGTTGGAGTAGGTGACCTCTGGGATCCCTTTGAACTCTGCGTCAAGAAACTGACCTCCTTTAAGAGAGTTTCTCTGCCTAAATGTTAGCTTGGTGTCATGGTTAAGTGCGCCGACTCTAATCTGGGAGAACCGGGTTTGATTCCCCACTCCTCCACTTGCACCTGCTGGATGACCTTGGGCAAGCCATAGTTCTGGCACAGCTGTTCTTGAAAAAGAGCAGTTTCTGTCCTCCAAAGATCAGGGTAGGATGCATGGCTCTTTCTTTTTCCATTTATATCCTTACAACAGCCCTGCCAGGTAGGTGATGCGGTGAGACTCCTTTGGTTAGTGAAGGGCGGGGTGTAAATCCAATCTCTTCTTCTTCTTTCTTGACTAGATCACCCCCACCTGCTGGTTTGTTCTCAGAATTGTTGCTTAGGCTGGCAGAAGTGATTAACTTGCAGCAGCTGAGAACTGTCATCTAAAATGGTTGACTGCTTGCAATTTAGAGAACTATCCCGGTAACAGCTTTCTATTGGCTAAACAGCTTTTCTTCCTGCACTGAGAATTTCAGCCCCACCAGCCACAGAATCCTGGCCACGGGCCACGGTGTATTGCATCTTGCTCTCCAGTCAGAAAGTTAGAATGAAATGTGTAAAAATAGTGTGCAAATTTAATTTGCATCGTTAATGCTGACCCTAACCCCATGGCAGCTTTAAGGCAGCGTAAAGTAACTTGCAAATGCTCCTCTACTACCAAGAAGAAGAGGAGATTGGATTTATACCCCGCCATTCACTACCCAAAGGAGTCTCAGAGGGGCTTACAATCTCCTTTCCCTTCTCCTCCCCACCACAGACACCCTGTGAGGTGGGGGGGGCTGAGAGAGCTCTCCCGAGGACTGCCCTTGAGAGAACAGCTCTGAAAGAACTTGTGACTGACCCAAGGTCACACCAGCAGCTGCATGTGGAGGAGTGGGGAATCAAACCCGGTTCTCCCAGATTACCAACCATCTTCTCAGGGACTAACTCCTAAAGAACACCTACATTTCCTGGAAGGCAGTGCAAAAACTGCTGGATGACTGAGAGTGGTCGCTATGTTGGACAGAGTATCCTCGTGGCAAAATGAAGTCAGGGGTAACGATACCCTCCCCCTTTGAACTTAAAAAGCTTTGAGTTTAAAAGAGAAGGGAGTGTGCAAAAGAGACCACGGGACGTGGGTTTCTCGTGAGAAAACGCTCAGGTTCAGGACCTTCATTAGTCTGCAGCTGTTTATCTGGAAAGGAAGGGGCGAACTGAACGGGGGCCTCTTACAGACCTTGCCGAGAGAGGGGGTGGATCGCGCTGCACCGCGGATCCCTTCCTTTCCAGCAGCTGCAGATGTGACTTCCAAAGAGGCCACCTGCAGCTTGGCTCCTCCTCTGCTCTTGGCAAGGGCTTTGCGAGGAGACGAGGAGGAGGCATCAGAACTTTTGCAGCGAGAATCGTTTTTTCTTCAGAGGTTTTTTTGGGGGGGGAAAGTTGGGTGTCTGTTGCCTTTTGCTGTGCAAAAAAAAAAAAAAAAAGACTCCTTGAAAATCTGACCCCGCCCCCCAAAGTTGATCTTTGCAGAGACCCAGTGTGGGACTAGGATACGGGAGACACGGGTTCAGATTCCTGCTCTGCCACGGAAGCTTGCTGGGTGACCTCGGGCCAGTCACAGACTCTCCACCTAACGTACTTCTCAGGGTTTGCGTGATGAGAACAATGAAGAAGAAGAAGAGGAGGAGGATGAGGAGGAGGAGGATGGATTTATACCTTGCCCTTCACTCGGAGTCTCAGAGCGGTTTACAATCTCCTTCCCTTCATCTCCCAACAACAGACACCCTGTGAGGTAGGTGGGGCTGAGAGAGCTCTTTCCAGAACTGTCTTTGAGAGAACAGCTTTAAGAGAACTTGTGACTGACCCAAGGTCACACCAGCAGCTGCATGTGGAGGGGTGGGGGAATCAAACCCGGTTCTCCCAGTTTAGAATCCACACACTTAACCACTACACCAAACTGGCTCTCGGACTAGATGGCCTCTATGGACTTTTCAGTTTATCGTTCTATGGAGTCTTCCCCTTGCTGTCTTGAAGGCGTTATAAAGAGCAGCTCCTCCTGTGTGAAAATGAGAGCCGTCCCCTGCATAGGACGGGAGAGGGAATCCGTCGCTCGCTCCGATCTCCCGCCAAGTATGAGAGTTCCCTTCCCTCCAACAACCAAAGATGCTTCTTAACCAAAACGGCTTTTAATGTTCCGTGGGGGAGTTACACCCTTTTTCCTGTTAATCGAAACACAGCAGAGACGGGCCGACGTCAGGTCAAGCGACCGATCAGCCAAAGAGGGAGAAAAAACATGGCAAACTTAGTGACACAACGAACACAGGCCCCCCAAACTCATCTTCCTTATAAAAAGATGCAATGGGGGGTGGGGGGGAGTATATTACAAGTTAGCGCTTGCGGAGGAAAAGTCAGACCTGCCGGCCACAAAAGCTTTCCGGAAAGACGAGAGAGCCCAACGGTAAGCCGACAAAATCGGCGTGCAAGAGAGCTCCGAGGCAGGGTCCAGATCGGGTTGCCAACCTCCAGGAGATCTCTTGGAATCACAACTGGACAACGGCAGAGATCAGTTCCCCTGGAGGAAATGGATACTTTGGGAGGGTTCTAAGGCATTATACTCTAATGAGGTTCGTCCCCTCCCCAAACCCCGCCCCCCCAGCCCCCCCCCCCAAATCTCCAGGCATTTACTAAACCAGAACTGGCAACTTTCAGTTCAGATAACTCATTGGCCCCCCCTATTTAAAAAGATCTTACATCACATCAACAAGTAGCACCCTCGAGGAACACAAGACACTGACTTCTACTGAATCAGACCCTCGGACCGTCAAGATCAGTATCGTCTGCACAGACTGGCAGCTGCTCTCCAGAGTCTCCTGCCTGGTCCTTTTTAAGTGGAGATGCTGCCGGGGATTGAACTGGGGACCTTCTGCATGTTAAGCAGATGCTCTACCACTGAGCCTCTTCAGGGTGTCAGGCACGGATCTTTCCCATCACCTCCAGCCTGGTCCTTTTTAACCGGAGATACCGGGGATTGAACCTGGGACCTCCTGCATGCAAAACAGAGGCTCTACCACTAAGCCACAGCCCCTGTCCAAACACACATGAAGCTGCTTGATAGTGAATCAGGCTATTGGTCCATCAAGGTCAGTATTGTCTACTCAGACTGGCAGCAGCTCTCCAGGGTCTCAGGCGGAGGTCTTTCCCATCACCTCCTGCCTGCTCCACCAACTGGAGATGCTGTCGGGGATTGAACCTGGGACCTTCTCGATGCCAAGCAGATGCTCTACCACTGAGCCTCTTCAGGGTGTCAGGCACGGATCTTTCCCATCACCTCCAGCCTGGTCCTTTTTAACCGCAGATACCGGGGATTGAACCTGGGACCTCCTGCGTGCCAAGCAGATGCTCTGCCACTGAGCCACAGCCCCTCTTTACAGCTCTCCAGGGTCTCAGGCAGAGGTCTTTCCCATCACCTACCCCCTGGTCCTTTTACCTGAAGATGCCATGGATTGAACCTGGGACCTCCTGCATGCCAAGCAGAGGCTCTTCCACTGAGCCACAGCCCCTCTTTACAGCTCTCCAGGGTTTCAGGCAGAGGTCTTTCCCATCACCTCCAGCCCGATCCTTTTTAACTGGAGATGCCAGGGATTGAACCTGGGACCTTCCGCATGCCAGGCAAAGGCTCTTCCACTGAGCCACAGCTCCTCTTTATAGCTCTCCAGGGTCTCAGGCGGAGGTCTTTCCCATCACCTTCTGCCTGGTCCTTTTAACTGGAGATGTCGGGGATCGAACCTGGGACCTTCCGCGTGCCAAGCAGAGGCTCTGCCACTGAGCCACGGCCATGGCCACTCCCACCTAGATAGGTCTTCCAGCCACCTGCAGACTCATGGCTCCCGTGTGGTCTAGACAAAGTGGGCAAGTGAAAACCAAAGGCCAACTAAGGAATAGGGTTGCCAGCCTCCAGGGGGCGCCTGGAGATCTCCCGCTATTACAATTCGTCTCCAGATGACCAAGATCAGCTCACCTGCAGAAAATGGTTGCGTTGGAGGGTGGCACTGTACCATGCTGGGGTCCCTTCCCCCCCAAACCCCACCTCCCTTAGCTCCGTCCCCCAAATCTCCAAAAACAATCACCTGCCAACCTCCCTTCACCAGCCCCCGCCCCGTTCAAGACCCCCGAGTGCCCCCAGGTGGGATTTCCGAAGCTTCCCGATGAACGATGGCTCCGCTTCCGTCTCTTCCTCGTACACACAGGTCCTCCGTCCAGCAGGGGGCAGCAGCATTCACACGCCCCAGCGTCCTCTGCTGTAATGGCTGTTTCTTCAAGTGTCCACGTTAAAAAAAGTAACAAGATGTCCTCTTCCCGGACGTTCCCCCTTTTTGTGTCCCCCTTCCCCCTTTTTAATAAACCCGACCCACCCTCCCGGATACATGTCCACCTGCGGTGCCACGGGAAAGCAGGCCGGTCCGTCAGACCACAGAGCTGACTTCAGCGGGGGCGTTCAAGTTCTCCACCACGTCCTCCCGCTCGATGGCCGCCAGGGCCGTGCAGAGGGTCTCCAGGGTGGCCCCCTCCCTGGCAGACCAGTCGGAGAGCAGGGTGTGGGCGGGGGCTTCCCCCCGGCCGAAGGTAGCCACGGTCTCCTCCTCGTAGCCCAGGCGGTCGGCCAGGCAGCGCCAGTCTTTGCCGTGGCCCGGCGTCTCCAGCAACTGCTCCACCTCTTCCCGCTTGTGGGGCGGGAGGTTGGCGTAGAGCTGGGGCTCAGCCTTCTGCACTGTTGGGGGAGGAAGCAGAGAGAGGGCGAGTCAGAGAGGACCCGGGTACCCCTTCGTGTGGCTGTAATGGTGGAGGAAACGGGGATGGTCATAAGAACATCAGAAGAGCCCTGCTGGGTCAGTCCAGTGGTCCAGCTAGTCCAGCCTCCTGTCTCACACAGGCGCCAGCCAGTTCCTCTGGAGGGCCAACAACAGAGAATCTCAGAGGAACTCTGCTGGATCAGGCCAGGGAGGGTCCATCTAGTCCAGCCTCCTGTCTCACACAGGCGCCAGCCAGTTCCTCTGGAGGGCCAACAACAGAGAATCTCAGAGGAACTCTGCTGGATCAGGCCAGGGAGGGTCCATCTAGTCCAGCCTCCTGTCTCACACAGGCGCCAGCCAGTTCCTCTGGAGGGCCAGCAACAGGGCAGAGAGGCCGAGGCCTTCCCCTGAGAAGAACCTCAGAAGAGCCATCCTGTATCTGACCAGGGAGGGTCCATCTAGTCCAGCCTCCCATCTCACACAGTGGCCAACCAGTTCCTCTGGAGGGCCAACAACAGAGAATCTCAGAGGAACTCTGCTGGATCAGGCCAGGGAGGGTCCATCTAGTCCAGCATCCCGTCTCACTCACTGGCCAACCAGTTCCCCTGGAGTTTCTCCTCCATAAATCTATCTAATCCTCTTTTAAAGCTGTCTGTGCCTGTGGCCATCACAGCTGGCCACAAGGTGTTTTGTCACCCTGAGAAAGGTGCGCCTGTCACTTCTTCCCCCACCAGCCTAGCCCTGCAGGGGTGCATTAGTCCCAGTGTTCCCTCTAAGGTGAGTTAGCGTGAGCCTAGCTCACAATTTTTTAGCCTCCGGCTCACACATTTTTGTCTTCACTCAGGAAGGAGGGCTCCGGAGCAAACTGATTTGACAACTGGATAGAGAACCGTAGTCAATTGTCAACTGAGAATCATAAAACTATCTCCCTTATATATAAAAGCCAAATGGTAGTGGCACTTCTCTAAAACATTCCACACACTCCAGAATTGGTTGGCGTCCTGGTGTGTCACTCAGAATCTGTCCCTATCCACTCGCTGCATTGCTTGAGTCTTGCCTCCAACATTCTAAACCTGAACATGGAGGTTCCCCTCAGTCACCATGGCTAGTAGCCATCGATTGATTTCTCCTCCATAAATCTATCTAATCCTCTTTTAAAGCTGTCTGTGCCTGTGGCCATCACAGCTGGCATGGCCGGCTCAAGGTCTTTTGTCACCCTGAGAAAGGTGTGCCTGTCACCTCTTCCCCCACCAGCCTAGCCCTGCAGGGGTGCATTAGTCCCAGTGTTCCCTCTAAGGTGAGTTAGCGTGAACCTAGCTCACGTTTTTTTAGCCTCCGGCTCACACATTTTTGTCTTCGCTCAGGAAGGAGGGCTCCGGAGCAAACTAATTTGACAACTGGATAGAGAACCGTAGTCAATCTATCTTCCTTATATATAAAAGCCGAATGGTGGTGGCACTTTTCTAGAACATTCCACACGCTCCGGAATTGGTTGGCGCCCTGGTGTGTCACTCAGAATCTGTCCCTATCCACTGGCTGCATTGCTTGAGTCTCGCCTCCAACATTCTAAACAGTTTGCTGTTCCTCTCCCCCTCCCCATAGCCAGTCAGAACACAGAGGTTATTTGCATATGCAGCCTCATTGGCCTTTGCCTCGGAACACAGAGGTCGTTTGCATATGCGACTTGATTGGCTTTTGCCTCTAACATTCGAAACAGTTTGCTGTTCTGAGGTAAAATGTGTCCAATCTCCAGGTGAGGGCTGGAGATCACTCAGAATTACAACTGCTTTCCAGACGGCAGAGATCAGTTCCCCTGGAGAAAATGGTGGGCTCTGTATCCTTATATGCTGCTGAGGTGGCCCCCATATGACAGCCAATGTGACGTAGCAGTCAGGGCTTCAGAGCACGGGAGAGGCTGCAGGTGTGCGGGGGGTGGAAAGCTGAAGAGTGAGGGGGAAATAAAGGTAGGTTGATAATTAGCTGGGAAGAAGATAGGGTTGCCAACTCCAGGTGGGAAATTCCTGGAGATGTGAGGGATGGAGACCACCAGAATGGATATACAAGAGAAATTATAAAAATAACAGGCATAAAAAGTCAATTTACCTTGTTAGCAGCTACAAGTACTTTGTCAAGGAACCGCAGCCATTCAAAGATGAAAACTGGTCTCTTTGCTTCTGTAATTTGAGCCAAAGCCTCTTCATTTAATAGTAAACTGTGTGCAAGCTCCATGGCTGGCTAAGTTCTGATTCTGCTGTAGATGCACTTATTTCCTGGAATGTAAAAAGAATATATACACACACACACACACACACTATAGAACAGCACATTTTACTATTTACTGCAGTGACAACTAACACAGAAATCATGATCAGTTAACAATATTTAATTACTGCATCCCAATTTGATGAACACTTCAGACTAAACACTATGCCACAACAGCTTTGCTCATTGGAGCAGGGTCTCCGGCAGGTGCCAACCTGTAAACTGGCAAAATCAGCCCAACAACTGCCTGTCCATATGCCTTGTCTGTTGTAGTCTCCATCATATGGAATAGGCTGAGGAGGTCAGGAAGGCTCCCACGCTCCTGGCTTTCCACAAACTATGCAAAACTGAATTATTCAAGAGGGCTTTTTTATGCAAGCTATAAGGTAACACTTATTCACAAAGTTATTTGGATAAATTATTAGGAATGATAGTCAATACTACTGTATATGGCTTCCTGGTCTTACTATGTAATTTTTGCATCAATGTGGCACATTAATACTTATACTTTGCTTCAGTTCAGTTTTTTAGACTTCTGGTTGGTTGTACAACCTGAACCTTTTGTACTGTTTATTGAATACCCCGTCATGTTGACTGTATTAACTCATTCTGTGTAATCCACCTTGAGTCCAAGTGGTAACGGTGGACTACAAACAATGTAAATAAATAAATATATTTTTATTGTCTACTAACATTCATTATGATTTTCATAAAGTACATATTAAGAGAACAGTGCCGTCTGACACGAGAACAAGAAAATGGGTATTCTAGTTGCCAAATGGCTACAACTTCAAAAATATGCATATATACAATATACACAAAACTGGCTCATGTAGAGAACTAATGCATGCTGTACACAGGCCATGGGCATAACAGGAGAATATGTACCCAAGACTCAAGTCTTGGAAATCAGGAATGCATGCTTTTATTCAGCAATAATACAGGTGTGTGCTCCTCTGAGTATGTGCAGAGTACACTCACATCATTAGAAAAGAAAAGCAAACTGGCATGGGCTGCAGCTACCTAGTCGTGTAAAGTGCCGTTGCATCACAGCTAGCTTATGATGATTCCCATAAGTTCCGCAGGGCCTGTAAAACGGAGCTCTTCCGTCAGGCTTTTGGAGCCGCCACCACTAACACCTCCTCCACCACCAATTAATATCTACTTTGGCAGAGCCCTGGCTCGTAGGTCCCTCAAACACAGCCCGTGCCAATTACCTGAGATTGCTGCAGAAGGCCGCAGACCCAATTGGGATAACGAGGATGTTGCTAGCACTTTATCCTGTTTGAGTTTTAATGTCGTATTTATTAATGTATGTGGATTTTATTATGATTGTTTCATGCGAATTTTACTGTTGTAAGCCGCCCTGAGCCGGCCTCGGACGGGATAAAAATTTAATAATAAATAAATAAATCTCAGAAGCTAAGCAGGGTACATCCTGGTTAGCAAGGCTCCCTCTAAGCTGGGGAGTCTTGTGAGCAAAAAGTCAATTCTGTGAGCTCCTGGCATTAAAGTTGTGAGTGAGCAATTTGGCTACGGAATAGGTTAGTTTGCTCTGGAGCCCTCCTTCCTGAGCCGAGATAATAATGTGTGAGCCGAAGGCTAAAAAACTGTGAGCTAGCTCACACGAACTCAGCTTTGGTTAGTACTTGGATGGGAGACCACCGAGGAAGTCCAAGGTCACTCTGCAGAGGCAGGCAATGGCAGACCACCTCTGTTCTGCTCTCACCTTGACGGGGACGGCCCAGGCTAGCTCGATCATCTCCTCAGATCTCAAAAGCTAAATAGGGTTGGCGCGGATTCATATTTGGATGGGAGACTACCCAGGAAGCCCAGGGTTGCTACTAGGGATGTGCATTCGGTTCGGACAAACCGGGAAAAAACCCGAATAATGCCTATTATTCGGGACTGCCTAAAGCCAAATCAGATTCCCTAATCTGATTTGGCTGGCTGAACAAGGATTCCCCGAATGGATGCCAAATATACCGGGCGAAGGGAAGGCAGAGGTAGCACACTCCCTTCATTGAAGGGAAGGAAGGGGGGTATTATTATAACCTATGGGGACAGTCCCCATAGGTTATAATTGAGCCGAATTATTTGGCTAGTCCGATAATTCCCGAATCCCAGTATCATATTGATACTGGGTTTCAGGAATATCGGCAAATACGAATATCTACCCAGGTAGATCCAAACCCGAAAAATTCCGAATTTTTTTTCTGTACACCCCTAGTTGCTACGCAGAGGCAGGTCGCGATTAGGCTGACATCGTCAGATCTAGGAAGCTAAGCAGCATTGGCCCTGGTTACTACTTGGATGGGAGACCACTAAGGAAATCCAGGGTTGCTACGCAGAGGCAGACAGTGGCAAACCACCTTTGTTCCTCTCGTGCCTCAAAACCTCCCCAGGGCCGCCACGAATTAGTCACAACTCGACAGCCCTCCCCACCGCCAGGGATGGAGAGCGAAATCCAGGAAGACCTCCATTAGAGCAGCTAGGCCTCACCCGGCCAGTTTGGTGTAGTGTGCGGACACTACTCTGGAAGATCCAGGTTCGATTCCTCACTCCTCCACTTGCACCTGCTGCATGACCTTGGGCAAGCCATAGTTCTGGCACAGCTGTTCTTGAAAGAGCAGTTCTATCAGAGCTCTCTCAGCCCCGCCTACCTCCCAGGGTGTCTGTTGTGGGGAAGGGAAGGGAAAGGAGATTGTAAGCCGCTCTGAGACACCTTTGGGTAGTGAAGGGCGGGGTATAAACCCAATCTCCTCTCCTCTTCTTCTCTGTGAACGTCAAACACACACCCAATACAGGAATTCTAGTGGGGGTGGGGGGGGGGGCGGGGGTATTGCTGAAGGGGGCTTCAGAGCTCATCGGCCGAAAGAGAAGCCGGGCTTCTTTTCTCTGCAGGCTCTCAAAGGCCAGGATAATGAGGCCGGCATCGATTCCCTCCCCTGCTGGCATCCGAAGAAGACAGATGGCTCCGAAATTCCAGCCACGGGGAGGAATGCCACAGCCGCAGAGTGGGAAACAGCTGGGCTGGGGAGGGGGCCAGGATGATGGGGCGGGGAGGAAGCCAACGGGGTCTTCTGTGTCGGTGGGAAGAGACGATGGGGGAGGGAGGTAAAGAGCGGAGACAGAGGTCAGAGCAGCGCCGTTCCAAAATATTAGCTTGCCGGAGCAAGTTAAGCTGAAGCATAAAAGAAAATCCTACAGCGGGAGGGTTCCCAGGCATGGATTAAAATCTGAGAATGCCACCAGAGGCTGGAAACAGAGTTTTGTCCGCCGCCTTTGGGCCCACGCCTTTGGGCCCTTCCACCCTGTATAATGGGCAAACAGGCCAGTCCCTTCGACAGAGAATTAATGGACACAAGTCTGACATTAGAAACCACAACATTCAAAAAGCAGTGGGGGGAGGGACATTTTAACCTTCCAGGACATCCAGTTGCTAACCTAAGAGTAGCAGTTGTCTTACAGAGGGATTTAAAAGGGAGATTAGGAAGAGAGACTGCTGAATTGCAACCGAGAATGAAGCCCAAGACAATGCATCCTCCTGGACTGAATCGAGACCTAGGTTTCCTGTCTCGTTACCAATGCTGATTTCTCCACACCTGCTACCCCTCTGCCTGTCACAACTAATCCAGTCACACCTGCTGTTGTCATTCACCTGCTGATGTCATTCGGCATCTGAAACCACTCCACTCTCCAAGGTATAAGGACAGATGGACTCCTATTCCAGCTGTATCTGAAGAAGTGAGCAGTGTGACTCACGAAAGCTCCTCCCCTGCCACAATTTTTTTTAGTCTTTACAGCGCTCCTGGACTCTTGCTCTTTTTTACTGCGACAGCCAGACTAACACGGCCGCCCATCTTGATCTCTGGGCCCCCAGTTTGCCAAACCCCCTCTAAAATTTCTGTCAATCCTGAGGTGAGAGATCCAAGTATAAAGAAAAGAGTCGTGAGTGTCTGACCCACAAATCAAGCAGTCAACAAGACTTGCAAAGAAAATGCTTACTATGTATTACAGCCCGAAGCAATTCCTACAGGTCGTAAGAAAATCCTCGTGCAAAGGTACATCATCAACGTTGTCTCCGGATTATATAACAACGTTTCAAAATTGGATCTTCCTCAGGAAATGTTAAGAGTAGTACAAAAGTTCTCTCGTTCATAAAATGCTTTACAACAAGTCATGAAAGATAGAAGAAGACGAAGAGGAAGAGGTTGGATTTATACCCCGCCCTTCACTTGGAGTCTCAGAGCGGCTGACAAACTCCTTTCCCTTCCCCTCCCTTCCCCTCCCCTACATTCAGATAGGAGTCTTGTTGACTGCTTGACTTGTGGGTCAGACACTCACGACTCTTTTCTTTATACTCGTTCTCTGTCCACATTAATCCTGAGGTGTGAGGCCTGTAAGGAGTTTAAGAATCAGTTCACACGTGCACAGTTATCACTTCCTTCATCATCGCCTTATTAATCTACCGCGCGGGGGATAAATTGGAGGCTGAAACGTGATATGAGAATGACGTAAGCTGCTTTGAGATCGCCACTGGGGAGCCAGGTGGGGTATAGATAGCTTATGCATGCCAGAGCAGATCCAAATATCTCCCTCCTGCGTTACTGTACCCTTCATGCTTGACTGTCGAATGTGTGAATAAGACTGCGTGGGGAAAGCCCTGCAGACAACCAGCACAGTACAGTGGTTAAAGTATCGAACTAGAATCTGGGAGACCCGGGTTCGAATCCCCGCCATGCCATAGAAGCTCGCTGAGTGACCTTGGGCCAGTTGCGCTCTTGGCCTAACCGACCTCACAGGGTTGTTGTGAGGAAAACGGAGGAGGGGAGAATGGTGTAAGTCGCTTTGGGTCCCCCAGGGGGGAGACGGGCAGGGTATAACTAAAGGGAATCAAATAAAATCAGTAAAAATAAAGACTTTAGAGGCAAAATGCACTCGCGCGTTTCTGCGCATGAGGCACTGTATGGCGTCACGGCCAGTTTGGTGTAGCGGTTAGGAGCGCGGACTCTAATCTGTGAGTACAGGGTTTGATTCCCCACTCCTCCTCCACATGCAGCCGCTGGTGTGACCTTGGGTGAGTCCAGGGATCATTTCGTAGAAAAAGAGGTGCAGGAGCTCATTAACATAACTTATTTGCATATGCCACACCCCCTGACATCACCGGAAGTGTGTCAAAAGGCAACACCCACCACTCAGGCTCCACTGGACTGTTTTGGATTGCTAACTATTTTGGGGGGGGGAACGTGCAGATCTGTCCTCGCAGAGGAGGGAGAGCTTGTACCTGAAGGCGGGATGTGGCGGGGGGGCGCGCGCACATGTGGGGGGGGGGGGCTCTGCAACTTACCTGGCTGCTTCTTGCTCTGACTGAGGGCTCCTGGGAGCAGGGGGTGGGGCTTGTTGCATGTGCCCGCCCCCTGGGCTCCTTACTGCCGGAGCTCCGCTCCTGTGTGCTCCCGCAGGAAATGACCCCTGCATATTTGTATTCTTATAATTATCTTAAATAAAAGTTTGAAAATTAAAAAGAATGTGGTTTTTAAGCCTTAGAGGGAGTGGGATCAGTTACGTAGGCGCCAGTGAAGCAGTGGACGGACCTCGTTCTGGGGACCTCGTTCTTGAGAACGGCTTGTGAGAGGACAGCTCTGAGAGAACCTGTGACTGACCCAAGGTCACACCAGCAGCTGCATGTGGAGGAATGGGGAAATCAAACCTGGTTCTCTCAGATTAGAGACCACGCTCCTAACCACTATACCAAACTGGCTCTCTTACAGGCAAACAGGTAAATAGGACTGAGACAGGTTATAGGACTGGGCTGTAATTAAAAGCTCAGAAAGTTGCATTGCTAAAGAGGCCCGGACAACCGTAACGCTGCCTTTCATTGTACATGCACTCCCAGCTAGGTGGTTTCTATACCACTTCACGTATCGTATTTAAAAACTCGTGCTTTGGTCCAGCTCTGTGGGAGAGTTCGGCTTGTTTCCAGATTCCTGGACTCCAAACCCTGTTGTGCAGTTCGGCGAATATCCTGTACTTTTCGTTGTAGTTGACTTACACTTACAAACTGAGAGCCAGTTTGGTGTCGTGGTTAAGTGCGAGGACTCTAATTTGGGAAAACCGGGTTTGATTCCCCACGCCTCCACTTGCAGCTGCTGGATGACCTTGGGCAAGCCGTAGTTCTGTCAGAGCTGTTCTTGAAAAAGAGCCGTTTCTCTCAGAGCTTTCTCAGCCCCGCCTACCTCACAGGGTGTCTGTTGTGGGGAGGGGAAGGAATTTATAAGCCGCTCTGAGGCTCTGAGTGAAGGGTAGGGTATAAATCCAATCTCCTCCCCCCCCTTCTCCTCCTCCTCCTCCTCCTCCTCCTCCTCCTCCTATTCTTCTTCTTCTTCTTCTCCTCCTCTTTCTTTCTTTCTTTCTTTCTTTCTTTCTTTCTTTCTTTCTTTCTTTCTTTCTTTCTTTCTTTCTTTCTTTCTTTCTTTCTTTCTTTGCTGGCCATCTTTCTTTCTTTCTTTCTTTCTTTCTTTCTTTCTTTCTTTCTTTGCTGGCCAGATCTTCTTCTTCTTCTTCTTCTTTCTTTCTTTCTTTCTTTCTTTGCTGGCCAGATGGAAGACAGGAGACGCGGCCCGAGAAGAGGGGAGGGTTTGGGGCGGCGGAGGCGGAGGCTACTCCATAGGGGTCCCTCGGTGTGCACAGAATATAAAGAGCGTCCCCCGAGCCGGGGAAACCCATAATGGAGGGAAATAAATCCGTCCCAAAGGCCGGGCACAATGAAGGGGCTTTGCTCTTTCCAATAGAACAGCGAGTGGCTGGGAACCCTTTCAGCGCAAAGCCCCATTAATCTACGCCTCTCTCACTGGCACAGAGAAGAGGCCGGTCTAATCTCGGCCCGCGGGGCCCGGAGGGAGGTTTAATCCTATTCAGGGGCTGAGCCCCAGCAGCGAGCCCGGCGCAGCGGGAGACGTAAGGGGAACGGCCCGGCCTTGGCCTGCGTCGGATAATGCCCCTGCTTCCTGCTAGGAGTGTCTGGTTTGTGTGAGTGCCGTTTTCTATAGCTCCATTGACGCCAATCGCTCACGCCGGGCTTTTGGACCTGGACGCTCGCTTGGCCAAACACCTGTGTGGCTGGCCTGAAGGACGGGGGGTGGGGAGCGCGAGAAGGCCCGGCTGATTCCTCACACGGTGTGGTATGTGTGTGTGTGTGTGTCTGTGCGTGAGATGTGCTAACACAAGCTCCCGGATCGGCAAGGAATTTTGCTGGAGGGCCGCTCCGAGGAGACGGAGGGGCCGAGACTCGGAGAAGGGGATCGGTGTCGTTTTGCGAGAGACGAGAAGGATCGTGGGAAAGCTGGGCGGCTATGTACACCGTCCCCACGGCACAGCTAACCAGTGTTCCCCCTAAGCCGAGCTAGTGTGAGCCAGCTCACCGTTCTTTAGCCTCCGGCTCACACGTTTTTGTCTTGGCTCAGGAAGGGATGGCTCCAGAGCAAACTGATTTATGCGGCAGCCAAATCGCTCGCTTACAACTTTGATGCCGGTAGCTCACAAAATACAATTTTTGCTGACAAGACTCTACCACTTAGAGGGAACATTGCATATAACGTTAGAAGAATGTCCAGGGTCCAGCCTACCTGAGGGACCGCCTCTTCCCGTATGTTCCCCCAAGAGCGCTGCGATCGGGGAGCCTGGAACTCTTAGAGGTCCCAGGCCCCCGGGATATCAAGCTTGCCCTAACCAAGGCCAGGGCTTTTTCGGTGGCGGCTCCTACCTGGTGGAATGAGCTCCCGGTGGCGATCCGGGCCCTGCGGGACCTGGTACAGTTCCGCAGGGCCTGCAAGACGGAGCTCTTCCGCCAGGCTTTCGAGTAGGAGCCGCCGCCGCCGCCGCCGCCACTATACCACCACCGTGGCTTGATTTACCACCTACCTGGCTCTGGGCGAGGGCTGACATTGCCCACAAGAGGAACATTACTCTGGCGCCCCTGCTTTTCATACCATCGGCCGCCAGTGAGGGACATTGACCACCTTGAACTTTTACAATGAACTGTAGAGCACCATTTTATTTTGTATTTATTAAGGTTTTAATGTAATTTGTGTTGTATCTCCGGCATTGCCGCTTGTTTGCCGCCCTGGGCCGTACGGGTAGGGCGGGATATAAATCCCAAAATAAATAAATAAAAATAAATAAAATAAATAAGAAGAGAAGAAGAGGAAGAGAAGAAGAGATTGGATTTATACCCCACCCTTCACTCAGAGTCTCAGAGCGGCTTACAAACTCCTTTCCCCTCCCTTCCCCTCCCCACAAGAGACACCCTTTGAGGTAGGTGGGGCTAAGAGAGCTCTCTCGAGGACTGCCCTTGAGAGAACAGCTCTGACAGAACTATGGCTTGCCCAAGGTCATCCAGCAGCTGCAAGTGGAGGAGTGGGGAATCAAACCTGGTTCTCACAGATTACAGTCTGCACACTTAACCTGCAGGGCCAACCACTACACATCAGAGCGATGCCTGCCCGAGTTACCTACCTCTGGCGTGCACACAGAGTAGCCAAAGGCCCAGTTTAAATGAGACACAGTGCATGCGCGAGGTCCTGCGGGGAGGATTATCGGCCTCGCCAGCCCCCCCCCCGCTGATATCAAGCCAGTATCCTGCTGCTACTAATACTGCTTCTTTCTTTTTGTGTGTGTGTGCACACCACTGCAGGGGTGACAGAAGGCCTCTCTTGGAGGGGAGGCTGGTTTACCTCCAGAGCCTCCAGTAGCAGACCTTACCCATTTTCTAATTGTCTGTCCCAGTTTCTCAGCCTAGGCCCTGGCGGTGTGTGTGTGTGTGTGTGGAGTTTATGACTCGCGTCGTGGCGGGGGTGACTGGTTTCGGAAGTCAGCGCAACCTCGAGAAGCGTTTACGCTCCCTCCCGGGCTCATGACATCCCCGCGTCTTTTTGTATCCTTGCAATCACGTCTTAGAATCGTAGAATAGAATCACACAGAATTGGAAGGGGTCACGGAGGCCATCTACTCCAACCCCCCGCTCAGTGCAGGGTCAGCCCAGAGCATCCCTGACGAGTGTTTGTCCAACCGCTGTTTCAAGTTTTCCAGGGAGGGGAAGCTCACCACCTCCCCGGGCAGCCGATTCCACTGTTGCACAACTCTGACTGTCAAAAAAGTTTTCCCTAAGATCCAGCCGGTACCTTCCCACCCTTAATTTAAACCAAACTAAGGAGCCGCCTTCACTACCACCAGGGGTCATTTCCTGCCGGAGCGCACAGGAGTGGAGCTCCGGCAGTAAAGAGCCCAGGGGGCGGGCACATGCAACAAGCCCCACCCCCTGCTCCCAGCAGCCCTCAGTCAGAGCAAGAAGCAGCCAGGTAAGTTGCAGAGGGCTCCCCCCATAGCTTGCAATCCAAAAGAGTCCAGTGGCACCTTTAAGGCCAAGTGTTATTCAGGTACAAGCTCTCCCTCCTCTGCGAGGGCAGATCTACACATCCCCCCCCCAATAGCTAGCAATCCAAAACAGTCCATTGGAGCCTAAGCGGTGGGTGTTGCCTTCTGACACACTCAGAGTTTCCTGCAGTTCCTTGAGTTACCTATGTTAAGGCCCATAGCCATAGTGGAGCTTTTGGGGGCTCCGCCCCCTTTCTGAAAGGCACAGTCCCACAAGAATTTCTCCTCTAAATTTATTTATTTATTTATTTATTTTTGGATTTATATCCCGCTCTCCATTTTTAAAGGCGTGCGCTCCTTTAAGTAGAGTGAGTGCTGTAGTTGATTAATTCCTGCACTGAACAAGGGGGTTGGAGTAGGTGACCTCTAGGACCCCTTCTAATTCTGTGCCAAGAAACTGGTCTCCTTTAAGAGTGTTTTTCTGCCTGTTAGATTTCTTGACTACTGAAGTCATCACCCCCACCTGCCGCTTTGTTCTCAGAATTGTTGCTTAGGCTGGCAGAAGTGATTAACTTGCAGCAGCTGAGAACTGTCATCTAAAGGGGCTGACAGCTTGCAATTTAGAGATCTATCCTGGTCACAGCTTTCCGATGGCTAAACGGCTTTTCTTTATGCACTGAGGACTTCAGCCCCACCCGAAAAATATTTGCCCCGCAAGCCACAAAATCGTGGCTACGGGCCTGCCTGTGTTACTTCCATTTGGGTCATTCTAGGAACCAGCAAAAACCATAGAGTGACATGGGTAGTTCTAGGATTCAGCAAAAACCACAGAGTTTCTGGCAGTTCCTCAAGTGACCTATGTTGCCGGGGTTTTTTACCAGTAGTGACACGACGTCACAGCCTGTGTCGTGCCCCCCTATATCTCCTCCCACTGGTTGCCAGACAACCCCATTCCTTAGAGACCATGTATAGGCCAGTGTGTGGGATTATTATGGGATGCACCTCCGATCCTCCCCCCCATCCCTTCCCAGCCCGCATGTCTCGCACGTACCACTTGAAAGCCACGTAAGCGAGGAGTCCCACCACCACCGCTGCTAGGATGGAGCAGTAGACAGGAATGATGTTCTTGCTGTGGTCTTCGGCCAAGGGGGGCACGAACTCCGAGGAGGAGGAATTGGGGGACGGGCTGCCCTCCGAATCCAGAAGGGACGTCCTTTTGGGGAATTCCTTGCGGGAGTCTCCTTCCGTGCGCTTCAGGATCTGTAGCTCTTTGTCTAGAGGGCAAATCAAACAAGATCATCAGCCACGGAGGCGGGCGTGTCGATTGGCAAACCAGCAATTGGGCCACCGACATTTATTGCAACAGATGCAAGAGGAGCAAAGCCGTCAACCCCCCCCCCCAGTTGACAATAGCTGCCAGAATCAGAAGCAGTGATTATCATAAGAAGAAGAAGAAGAGATTGGGTTTATACCCCGCCCTTCACTACCCAAAGGAGTCTCAGAGCGGCTTACAAACTCCTCTCCCTTCCCCTCCCTACAACAGACACCCTGTGAGGTAGGTGGGGCTGAGAGAGCTCTGACAGAAACTACTCTTTTTCAAGAACAGCTCTTATCAGGTCATCCAGCCAGATGCAAGTGGAGGAGTGAGGAATCAAACCCGGTTCTCCCAGATTAGAAGATGAGGAAATTGGATTTATACCCTGCCCTTCACTACCCAAAGGAGCCTCAAAGCAGCTTACAAACTCCTTTCCCTCCCCCTCCCCACAACAGACACCCTGGGAGGTAGGTGGGGTTGAGAGAGCTCTGAGAGAACTGTGACTAGCCGAAGGTCACCCAGCTGGCTTCATGTGGAGAAATCACGTAGTAGGGTAACACATACAGCAACAGATAGTATGTGCTTTACTGGGTCTCTTTCCATTCTTTAAAGTGCCTTTCTGAACCATTCAGGTATGGAACTCCCTATCACTTGCGTAAAAAAAGCCTTCCTGAGTAATTCAGTTTTACATACTTTATAGAAAGAAGAAGAAGAGATTGGATTTATGCCCCGCCCTTCACTCCCCAAAGGAGCCTCAGAGCGGCTTACAATCTCCTTCCCCTTTCCCTCCCCACAACAGACACCCTGCGAGGTAGGCGGGGCTGAGAGAGCTCTCCCAAGAACTGCACTTCAGAGAACAGCTCTGAGAGAACTTGTGACTGGCCCAAGGCCACACCAGCAGCTGCATATGGAAGCGAGGCCTTTTCCCCAAAAAAGGGGATGTGACTGAATCACACATTTTTTAGTAGAAGCCCTCCCCGCACGCAGGCTCAGAGCGGCTCACAAGGTGTGATAAAACTGATAAAACAATTTCTCAGTTAAAATGACAATAAATTAAATCAGAAACAATACATAAAGTGCTAGCAATGGCATTAGGCTTACCAAGTGCCGGCGGGGGATTGGCATGTCTTTACAGGATCCCTGCCGCGGGGACGGCGATACGCGTTGCACCGCCGTCGCCAGGATGTGACGCTACGCGTCGCTCTGGCAACGGGGCTGTTTGGAGTCCCGTTGCCAGAGCGATGCGTAACGTCACATCCTGGCGATGGCAGGTGCAACGCGTATCGTCGTCCCCGCGGCAGGGATCCTGTAAAGACATGTCGTTACAACATGCCAATCCCCCGCCGGCACTTGGTAAGCCTAAATGGCATACAACATGGCAGGAGTCCACAATCAATTAGCGCATGGTCTGGGTCATGTCAGCAAGGCACAGGATATTTAATGATGTTAATGACATTATTGGTGTTATTAAGACATTGATGCTATTGGGGACAGGGCCTCAGATGGTTGCGGCGGCTCCTTGATCAAATGCCTGGTGGAAGAGCTAACTTCTAAGACAGGACCACTTTTCAGTAGGAAAACCTGAAGCATTTTGAGATCTATTTTTTAATTAAAGGAGCCACATGTGGCTCTTTCACACATATTGTGCAGCTCCCGGCAGGGCAGCTGGGGAAGCGAAGGGGAAGCATGATTTTCTCCCTCCCTCTCTTCCTCCCTTCCTTCCCCCTCCCTCCCATCTATTTGCTTTCTTTGTTTCTCCCTCTCTTCCTTTCCACCTCTTTCATTCTGTCTTTCCACCTCTCTTTTTTTCTCCCCCTCCTAGACAAACAAATATAATTAGCAAGGGAATACACAGGGCTATTTTTGGGCAGGAACGCACAGGAACGGAGTTCCGGCTGGTTTCCAAGTTGGCCACACCCAGCAGGAACTCATTAGCATAACAGGTCACACCCAACAGCAGAAACTCATTAGGATTGGCTACATTAGGGGTGTGTGGCCTAACATGCAAAGGAGTTCCTGCTGCAAAAAAAGCCCTGGGTTTGGACAACAAACAAGGTAAACAGAATAAGAAGCAAAAGGTGGGCGTGGCTGGATGACCACACTTCTGGTAACATGGGGGTGTGGCCTAATATGCCAATGAGCTGTGCTGTCAGGGGTGTGGCCTAATATGCTAATACGTTTCTGCTGTTGGGTGTGGCCTATTATGCTAATGAGTTCCTGCTGGGCTTTTTCTACAAAAAGAGCCCTGGATATACAGCATTTGGAGGGGGGGGGTTTCCCCTGACCAGGCCGAGCCGATCAGGGAATCAGCTGAAGCGCGCCTAAACCAACGGGTTCATATTCTCAGGGAAGCATCAGGAGAGCCATTGCAAGGTCAGACACTCAGGCTAAGAGATAAGACTCAAGGGGGGGGGAGTTAAAGTTAAAATTCCAGCATAATAAGAAACCCTACACCAGCTGTCTCCCCCCCCCCCCCCGCAATGGCAGGGTAGCTGACACTCAGATATAGACCGGGAGTCGTGCACAGAGTGAAATGTTCGATTTGTCCCGCCGAACCAGAATTCAGGGCCACCCAGTGAAACTGTTGGCCGCTTGGCATGAGCTTCGGCTTCCTCTGACTCTCGAATCTCCTTCTGGCTCTGCCGCAACTGGCTGACCTCCCTCTCTACAGAGGAGGAGGAGGAGGAGGAGGAG